ATTTTGAAAAAAAAGAAATTTTCGTCAGCGTCAATACTTAATTGGATATTTCCTTCTATACTTTTTAGCACGTAGCTATTTATTATTAGCATTATTCTTCCGACGTCTGATTTCTTTTTAATTATAGGAAATGCGTTGTTCTAAGGTATATAAACTTTTGGGATTGACTGTATAGCCAATATGTCCTTAAACACGTTTCACGAGATCGAAAAACGAGCGCTTTTATCTAACCAATTAAACGTTTCGTTCACGCAAATTCGCGAGTAAGCAAATCCGTACAACGCAGCGTGTCGTTCAGAGGGGACGATCGATTATGCGATTATTAACTTAGTGCATATGAAATGTCGTTTTCAAACACAGCAAACGTGGTTCATGTAGAATGTATGCTTGATTCCAGTAATTGAAAGGTAAAGAAAACACTGATACTCCTAAAGTTAGTAAATTTCTGATAATTAGATTTTAACTGTACTGTAATATGTGCAAAATCAATTTCATTATGCGTTTAATACATAATGTTATAATATCTTCCAATTGCAATCGTGTTTATTATAAACTTGTTGACCTGCCAAATTATTTGCTTTTTAATTTAATTAATACAATTGTGCATAATCATAATTTAATATTTTCAATTAAACGTCAAACTCCAGAAAGGAAATGACGTTTCACCTACTTTTTTTATCTCGCGCATTTGATTATTCTTTTTATAAACTATGACAATCTGTAATCTATTCTATTCAACGATATAAACAGGTGACAGACAAAACTTCGAACGATTTTAATTCTCCACTTGGTTGTCCTCTGACTAGATTTCTCCGGCTAGCCTTTCGACTGCTCGTTACCGGAAACGAGAAACGTTGTAATTGTTAAAATAATAGAGAAGGTAGTGGAGAAGTGAGTACGGGCCGACACAATTACGAAACTCGGTGGAATTGAATTTCAGCATTATTCGTCTCAGGCGAGAATGAAATTGCTATTCGTATCGTACGGCACTCTTCCTAGAAGAATCAACGAAGAACGACGATCGCTTGAAAAAGATTCTACGAAAAATTGAAAACATTTATTTGAAGCATTTTTCGACATTTTCAGAAAAGAGTTTTCATTTTTCCGAGGATATTCCTATGCTTTGTTTGTTAATAAATCAAATTAAAGTACGATTTTAAGTTTATTTTCTCGAGGTAATCGATTACGAATACGTATTGCGCTTCATAACCGGTTCTGAGTCGATACAACTCAGTACGACCGATGGGATAAAAAAAGACGAAGATCGCAATATCGCGCTTGATTAAAAACATTTGGAATTTACGACGATAATTCCTGCGAGAAACGATCTCCCGTCCTCTTATCAAATCGTCTCCGCGTCGATTAATAATTTAATTCCCGCGACAACTGTCTGACCGTCTGAGCGTTTGCAATTATATTCATCGTGCAATATGAGGAAAAAATTCAGTTTCAACATAAAACTTGTGCAGGCGAGAATAGAAAGAGTTGCGTTACGAGCGGAACGTAACGCGAACAGCAGATGCTTCATCATTGTGTCGCACGAGATACGACAGCCAAGCTGACTACAAAGGTAGATTTGATTAGGGCAGCAGGGATATACGCAGCGAGTTCATTATTTTTTCAACTGCGACGTAACTGTTTTGTTCTATACAAATGAATTTTCCGAAACGAATAAAGAAGCGCCTAGCAATTCTTTGCATCGAATAAAGCGACGTAACGACCGAGTCGCAAACTTCTACAGTCTCGGAGACATTTATAGACCATGTTCTTATTTTTGCACTTTATATTCTCATAGCGCGCCGCCGGAACACTTAAAGGATTAAGTATATCTCGTAGCAGCGAAATGAGACGGCAATCTCGGCGGGAGAGGTCGGAAAGCGCGGGAGGCCTGGCTTAAACGAGTCGTTGTCTTTAAACGATTAAAAAGCTAAAAATGTGAGACGAGGCGAAAGAGGAGGTAGTAGAAAAAAAAATCGTAGTAAACATCGGTTATGCGTTCGCTCGGTAGTGGCGATGCTGAGCCGATGTGCTGCGTTGCGCCGAAAGCTTCGACCGAGCCGTAATGGCCGTGGAAGGTTAATGGGCTTACCGAAAATTGATGGCGGCTGCGCAGGGTCGCATGAAATACCATGCACCGCGACTTTTTTATCCTCCAGCCAGCCTCAGCTTTAACCATACACCTTCTACCGCGTTTGCTTTTTTTCTCCTCGATCACTGAACTTGATTTTCCCCTAAGGATATTCGCGACGCCATGTGCACCTTACGACCGCTCGGCCACCTTTCTTCTCTCCTGGCAGCCACCCCGCATTTTACCTTCCTCCGATTGGCAGAGCTTTCACGGATTCGATCGCAGTGAAAATCGACGAAATTTTTCTAGAATGACGCCTGCGTTTCTCATTCGTCCCGCATTTCTAATGTTACGTCTGTTTTTTATAAGTCAAAAAGAGGAAATCTGTATTTCTGTTCTTAGGTTCGTGACGACATGGCCGCGGAAGGCATCGAGCCTCTGGAAGAGGAGATACCTCACGAGGACATAATCGGTCGAGATTACTGCCGGTATAACGTGAAACGGTTGATGGCGCCTTACGAGTCGGCCATCACGAGTCCTCACAACCAAAGGGTGAAGAACGTGAAGGAAAGGGTAAAACGAAAATACTTGAAGCTGACGGAAAGCAATACTGTAAAGGAGCTCGACTGATCGTTGCAGCGAGGAGCAATTTAGAAGCATTTCGGCTCGAAAATCTTCGCGTTTCTCGAAGAGTAGCTCTTTTGTCTCTTTCGATCTTTGACTGGAACCGCATAGTATTATCACAATTTCAAGTTTGAATTGAAATCCGAATCCGAATTATTAGGGAAACGTCTGAAAGATCCAAGGAAAGGCGCAGAATTTGTGCAGTGCGCAACCTCCTAAACTATAAATCGATATCGGTGCTAATATGATGATTTACGAGCGCGCTGAAACGGTCCAATCGGCTACAGAGAGGCGAACTCGATTTCCTTCGAAGATCCCTGAATACCCAGACGTGAGTCTGAAAGAGGGTTGAACGGACGGAGAAAGAGAAACGAGAGGACTTTACGAGCCGAAGCTAAACGTGTTTATAGAGATATGTGTCTCTGTGATTCGAAGACCAACGGGAACGTACCGCGCGTCTAAACGATTTAATAATCGATCTGTTTAATTTGCACTCGAAAACGATTTTTTCGTCAATACTGGAACCAAAAACTGTTCTAGTCAATATGTATAATTAATTGCATTATGTATAAATATGTACACATAACGACTGACACCGATCGTCACACGATGGTGGTTATTATACGATTCCGGCGGGTGACTGTTTGTTTGTGCGTGAGTGTACGTGCGACTGATTTGTACATATGGTACCTGAAGTCGATATGATTGATCCTCTTATGCATTAAACCGGTCGAACGAATTTTGAAAGAAGTTTGAACAGCGATTATCACGAAAATCGACGACGTTAATTTGTCTCGTACGATAAATATACAATTCATTTTTTATACAAAACAAGACACCATTGAACGTGTTCATTTCATTCTGAAAGGTAGATCAGCATTCATTCTTAGATGTTCATTTAAAAGATTCGATCTACCGGTTTGATTAAATTGTCTTTTGAGGGATGCTAGATACGGAGTTAGACTCGAGAAATCTATGAATAAAGTAAAACGAGTGCGACGCACGAAGCGAGACAGACCTTTCCTACGATTTTGCACGATCGAAGTTGACGTCGGCACGCGCGTCGACGTGCTATCTCACATTTCATTTCGAACGCATTCTCATTCATCCATTGTAACCATCACCTTAAGGCTCGTATATTCCAACTAACGCACCGAAAGACTACCATTTCATAACGATGTTTTTACACTAAACTTTTAATATTAATCAGAGTTTTAAAAGGAACAAACATTGGACGAAAAGCGAGCGAAGAATGAGTAGGAATATAAATGAAACGAAAATATGTATCAACTTCCCTCGTGCCATCGACGCATCTGGTCATTGATTTTACGCGAACCTGCGTATCCATCGTTTGAAACTTGGGTTCCGATCGGAGCGAGCGAAATTAACGATAATATTTATTTCGTATCGATCGATTTTAACGATCATTCGTGTGCAAGTAGTCGAGATCAACGAAGCGTCAACCTCGTGAATATATAACGAGTAAGATTTCAAACGTTAACAATACTCGAAATAAACCGACGACTAATTCAAATACGGTCGTTGTTCGACAAAAATCAGTCTACTTTTTTTCCAACAATTCCTCTCCCTTTACACGTGTAAGTTATTGCGAAGGACGGAGTCGTGAAGCCGGACGTCGATTCGGCGAAAATCGAAGGAGCAAACGTGCTCCGATGAACATCGGGCGCATCGATTCGCCAATTTACAAGTAACAAAGGGTCAACGCTCGTTGGCGATTCACAGAGCGCGTAGGAAGCAATCAAGTGCAAAGCACACGTTGAAATCGTAAATGCGGCTTGGTTTATCGGCATTTCGGAATCGTACGTGCAGTAAATCCCAGTCCGGAGTTTGATTAGATTGTCGTTCGACGGATTTGATAATGGCTGATTACCTATCAATCGAACAAATCGATCGCGCTCACCCCTCGCGCGACTCGCGAAGTTTGATGCACACGACACACGACGAGCATGACCCACGGAAAATCGAACTGTCGTCGTGGTTCGCTTCGGTTTCTTTTCTTCCATTTTAATTGGGTCACATCTACTGTCCAGCGTTCTACAGAGATCGGTGACGATATTAAACTCCTTGATAAAATTGTCAAAGCTGCTTGACAACTTTTGTCTAAAATTCGTCGAGTCTTTTTACGAAAGCACAGTTCCGTATGAACAGGAATAAAAGTTTCAATCTGAACGACGAACGTCCCGCAGAAATAACAAGTTTTCGTCGCTTGATCATTTAAAAGTGTCCGATCGAAAGAGTCGCGGGAAAGTTCAAGAGAAAGGAAGGAAAACGAGAAAAACGATAGTGGAACGGGGGCGTACAGAGCGACCTTTCAGTGATAATTAATTTCTCGCCATTGGTGGGTCGTTAACGAGCTCGTTAAAAAGTTTTGACACGTTTATACCTGGATTCGACCGTGCAAAAACCATTTAAGCTTTTTCCCTCGACGGGCCGGGACTGAGTGAACCTCCTTGAAGTGCTCTCCTTCTCTGTTGCAAACGCACTGCTGTCTCTACACTTTCTTTCCCTCGACGATCATTTCTCCCATGAATTTTTCCTATTCTTCGATTCCAGTTTCTATTCTCCTTGACGGTCTATGCCGCGTCTTTGCGGAAAAATCGGGAAATGGGAGCGGGAGAGGTACGAGGAAACAGGAGGAAAGAAAAATATCGTGAACTGAACCGTGGCTCTGTAAAAGAGAAGAATCTCGAAGAACGGTGAGGAAAGCGGAAGGGCAGAGAACCGCTCTCATTGTTTCGCCCCCGGCAAGATATCGGCCAAGTTTATGGTAGGAACTCGACCTATAAATTTTATCCTTTAATACGGCTTGCTACGTATAATGCGAAACCGACGAGTTATATCTCGTGTACGGTTTAAGGAATCCCGCGAACGATACTTTTCAGCTGCGCTGTAATTCCGGCTAGGAATTCTAGTTTCGAACAATAACTGGAACTATCGCGGAATCGTAAATCAGAACACGGAGTGTCCGAATGTGCGAAGAAACGCTACGTTTGCCCTGAACGCAGGCGAGAAACTTTCGTAAGTTCTGTATTCGCAAAAAATACGCTCGCGAAACGTTGCCTGTATCGTAGAGGAATGAAATATCGTTACAGTTTAAATTCTCGGATTCGGGAGATGAGGAAGTACATGGAAGACGGAGCGACGTAGGCAGGTAAGAGGGAAATGCACTGAACGGATTACGGTGTCAAACGGCCATGGAATTAACGGCGGGTTTGCACGGAATTGGCTGCAACGTAACGAGAAGACCTTGCTTTCGGCTTGTGTGGCGATCGTGAATCGAATATCAGTCGACAGGTCGATCGCGTTCCGCTTTAGGAAAGACGGCTTTACAATTCGGTCAATTGTAAACCCCGATAGCCGATCCGGACAGCGTGGAGGGACGGTTAATCTCCACGGGAAACCATTTCCAGGTGCCGGGCCACAAGACTCAGCCCAGGCTACGTTTGCCAGAACCTCTTGGTTCGTGAATATTATACCACGTCTGTGATTGAATCAATGCTCAGACGGATCAGAGACGAGTCAATCGGTCGAATGTGCGTCGAATTGCTACCTTGCTACCTTTGTACCATAACTACTGCTGTCTGAAAAATTTCAGGGACTTCTCTTATGTACACCTCTTTGCAAGATTCACCTTATCGTGCAATCTGCCATTCCATTTCCGAAAATCTCGGATTTCTTTGCTCGTTAAATAGCCATGAGGCTTGAATTATCTAAACTGTACCTTCGTCTCCAGTGATACTCTTCCCCAAGACCGAACGAAATATCCTTTAAAAATTTATACCTGACGGATAAAAAACTTTTATTCGTCAAGAAGAAGTGAGAGGATAATCGAAATGAGTAGCCTAATAAAATATGTATTAAGACATCCATCGGTCTTAATGTAATAAAAAAATATTTATACCAAAGTGCAGATGAACGAAGAATCGAGTTGTTTTGAAAAATTAATTATCTCGATACTGATTAATGGAGTGACAGTAAAACTACTTTGAAACATCCCCCGACGCGGACGGTTCAGAATTAACTCGTCAACTTTTAAACCAGGCTCTCCTTTTTGTTGCTTCCGTCGACGCGAACTATGCAGTTCGTTCCAAGCGCGGGTTCGAGAAACAAAAGTGTCAGTCATTGAATAAATTACGAAGTAAATGAAACGCAAATCCGTTCGCGCTGCTCGTAACAGCATTAGCACACAAATTAAATGGAACAACCTGTCTCTGTCCCATAATATCCCCTTGCAATATCACTCAAGACGTTATGTATAAAAGACGATTGTATAAAAAAGCATTCCTCTCCTTTTTTTTAATCAAGTTTGAATCAAAGAAATCACTCACCGAATCCCCGGTTCCCGCCGTTCCGTTAATGCTTTATGAGCTTTCCCTTTGTTGTTTATACACCCGGTATGCTGGACGACACCCCATCGACGGTCCTGAAAATAAAAAAGCTTTGTGGATAAACTTGTAGGACACGAAACCCATTAGCCGTGGACATGGGAATAAAAAAAGTTTAATAATAAAACATCTCTGCGATTGGAACATTTTAACATCATTTCCATCCCACGGTCCCGTCCACGTAACAACGTTAAATCATTAATTCTTTTAAAGCACGCGGAAATTTTTCCATCCGACCGGACACCGGCGAAATTCGTAATACGAACGAGTTTCGTCCGCGGGAAACCGGGCGCGACCATTTGCTGGGTATTATCGAATTATCGTACACATTTTCTTCCCGTTTACGCGTCCTTTGCGCAACGAATTTACCACTTTTTCTGTTCTCCGGCTTCGTGTACGCGCGTCCACCGGAAACGCATTTTCTGCGGGAACGAGATTGAATGGACAGCGTTTATAACGCGAGGGATTACGCGTCGTTATCTGGCGCACGAGATGCGTGGACTCTGTATCATTTACGAGCATCGTAAGTGGACCTAATGGAGCAGATCTGGGCGAGGTGGCTGAGAAGCTTTTGCGAAAATCGATAGAGATTCCATGCGTAAACGTGAACACGTATTTACTTTTAACTACAAATTACTTTATGCACGAACGGAAAACGGATTAAATGGTGCGCTTAATTTGGCAAACGTGAATTGTCTAAATTAAGCTACTTTTCCGACATAAAATCAGATTTGCGGAAAAATTATATGCGAAGAGTAAACGTTAATTTTTCATACGATTTCAGCTTGCGACTTCGAATTAAATAATTCGAAACAGGAATACCTTTCCGAGACAATGTTTAAATAGTACAGACTGTTCGGTTTCGAGCGCGAGACTGAAATAATATCTTATTCTTAGCATACAGGTCAGCTGGTTTCTTTCAATTATTATTTGAAACGGTCTGGTTCACGTAAAGATTTCACTATTCTGGATTTTTTGTTTGCCAAATACATGCGCGGTACGATATAGATACGTACAGCAATATCTGCGCATCGTGCTGTTCTCTTTGAGCTTTTTTTATCGAACTGCAGTAACATCGTTTCGATACGCTGAATAATATCAATGGAAGATTGCGTTGCGATCTGCGTAAATCGAAACAGATTTTGTTGAACGTATACACGGCAGAATATGCAAATTTGTATACGTACACTAAAACGCAACGCAACGCAACGCTAGATCAATGTTAAAAATATTATTTCAAAATGATACTTGCGTGCATGTGCTGCCTGTTGAAAAAGAAAGAGGATAAATAAAAACGTATAGCACGAGGTAATAAAAAATTTGATAGTTCGGGGAGAGGAAAAAATATGAAGGGGAGTAGATTTTGTTTAAAAATATGCATTTTATTTTATTCAATCTTTAGATTGATTTTTGCCAGACAAATATATACATATATTTATATCATTGTATATTACGTATTCCCGCAATATCAATGATCTATACAGAATGATATCTTTTTACACATCGTTATAAAAATATCGTTTCCATATAGAAATACAATCTCCGCCGACGTGAACGTGCCCATGAACGGCTTTCGTTTTGCAGAACCAAAAAACGCTCCTGGCGGTAATTTGGAAAAACGAGGTTTAGATCGCTCAACGAGTTCACCTACTATAATATACAATATATCTATATAGTGTGACAAAGTCTTTGAACAAGCAATACTGCGAAACTTTGTTTCGACTATGATACACCAAGAACGTAACAAGCATAAATATAATTTTTACATATTCACTTCTCTTAATAATCATCTGAAAAGGTACTTTTAGGTACAACGTTCGCCACTCGTGCTCTTCGCACGACTGGCCTGTCAGCTTTTTTTCTTCTTATCGTTTAAGCATAACGACAAAGCGAGCAGAAGTATTCGTCAACTGATAAGAGATCAGAAACAACAAGAGATACAAACAATTTTTCGTGTGAAACGTCGACGAAAATAAAATCGTACAAACAACGATTGATAACTAGAGAAACAACGAAGTCGAATCAAGTTCTTTTTCGTAAAAGGGGCGAATAGAACGAAGGGGAGGCGGGGGGGGGGGCTAGCAAGAAAGAACACAGATTGCAAATCGCAACGAGAAAAAATCCCTTTTGTCCACTCTCGCGTAGAGGCTCAAGGTAGAGTTCGAAGATTTAAACGTGAATTCGATACAGAATCCCTTCACAATAGGAATACGCTAAAAAACGGGGATTTAAACTCGGCTACAGGAGTACCAAATGTAGGTTGAAAACAAAAAATGGCAGAGCTCGATGTTCGGAGGACTCGTGTTTCTCTTTCTCGGTTTCTTGTTCGGGGTTACTTGATCACTTTCTCCCGTTTGAGAGAGTCGAATTCCTCCAGCATCGCCTGTAGTCCTTCGGGAACACGTCCAGAGTCTAATTCCTGTCCCCACTGCCGATACTGCAAGAAGAAAAATAACGAACGGGGTTACACCACGACCTCCGTCCTACTAATACGTGACCAAACTTCGTTCTTTATACCCAAAACCGTTTCTTCAGGAACTTTAAAGGACACTGGAAAGGATTGGTTGATGCGAACAGACGATTACGGGAGAGGGTCTTCTCTTCTTTCCTTTCGATTCTTCTATAAGTGATAGGCACGATTATTCTGATAGAAAACTGCAAAGAAAGCTTGACAAACTCGGGTCACTCGTATTATTTTACTTGATCAATGAATATACGTTTCAAATGTACGTACCTTCTAAACCATTTACTTGATTCAATAATACTTAATCATCGAGCGAATAGTATACATAAATCTCAGAGTCGTCTTTCTAACACGGTCGCCACTATCTTCGAGCAATAGTGTTCTCGAATGGAATAGAAATTCCGAGCGAATAAAAGAGGAAGGCACATTTCAATGCCTGTACGAAATTCTATTGTTTTTTAAGTGGAGAAACTAATTTCTGAAAGTTCAGGGCGGTTTTAACTCCCGCGAAAAAACGGTACGGGGAGACATGTTTACGATTCTTTCGAAAAACTTTTGCGCCTTCCAATGTTCTCCATTTTCTTGTCTCACCCTGGGAATTTACGATATTAACGTACGCGGAAAATACAAACGTAACGCGCGCCGCGACGCTGCGTTTCCGGCGCAGCTGTAACTCTCTCTACGAATGGGATGGTCACGATTGCATAATCGAGAACATGTACGACTTTAAAAACGTCCGTCGGTGAACAGCGGCGTTGGAATAATAGGCGCATAACTCACTCTTCGCGAGAACTTCTTCCAAGTGGGAGGATTTATTGTCGCCTCGTCGCATAGGAAACGGCTACGGGATAGGATGTATGTACTTGCGAAATACGCACGACGGAGAAAAGAGAGTCGTCGGGAATAAGTTGATAGCGGACGCTGTAAGAAGGGGTAGACGTTTTGAGAAGAGGACTTACCATCTCCAGCTCTCTTCGAAGCGCAAGCACAGCCTTTTCGCGGTCAGCCACCAGTTCCTCCAGGTATTGATACCTGAGCTTCTTTCGAGCACGACACTCCCTCGCACTCTGTCGGCTTCGCTCTGGAAAAACAGACGGAAATGATTCATGAAAAGAGACGTGAGAGACTGACACGGCGACGTGAAACGCCTCGTGAAGTCCTATGAGCACGCGACTTTTTATTCTCTCTCGCAAATACAGATATAACAGCGTTCGTAGACAATCGAACTTCTTTTATTTCATTTCAAGGGTTCAAATGATTTTACTTCAGCGGAGACTTTATTATTATTCTGTACCGTGCCAAGGGGAAACGTTCTTAAAGGCTCGATGGAAAAGGCGATTATAGGAAAGGGTAAGCGAAGCCAAACAAGCGGACGGGTGTATCGCAGCCGGGACGTTTCTTTGGTAAATTTTTCACGGCAGATCGAATACGACGAGACGGCAGTGGTGGCCGTTTAATAATTCAAAATCTGCCACGCGAAGTCTGGCGTTCGCGAGATAAGCAAAACGGAGTTCTAATAGCGAAAGGAAGGTGTACCTTTGAAACGAGGCTCACTTGCGCACGGACTTTTCACGCGCGAATACAAATATTACGCCGTTTCCAAGAAACATGAACGATACCGTGATACCGTGGTCGTAAAAATTCGCGGCTTAACGATATCTTGGGATGCATTCAAGCCAGCCTCTGCGCCTCGGTAACTGGAAACGCGATACTTTTATTCCGCGCCAACGAAACGCGTCAGTCGGTGCGCAATAAAGTAACGAGAATATGTAAAGAACTTAAAAGGAGAATGGAGAGAACAGTACATGCAACGCTGCGAAATATCCATGGAAATTAGAGGGAAAAAAATAAATTCTGTATACGGGAGATAACAAACGCAGGAATCCCACAGAGTGTGACTTGTGCATCGAACATTCGCGTCCGATTCTGCATACAAATACAATACAAATGGCGGTTTCTTGCTTAACCCGGCGGCGATCGCACGGAATAGCAAACGCGTCCGGAAGATACCATAAAATCGAAGATATCGGAACGAACTAAATAGTTGGCATACCACAGGAAACGAAGCTCCGGAACTTCAACTCGTAGAGGTTCCACCAACTACAAATCGTTCGCGGAGAGAAGAACGAGCGCCGATAAATATTCCTCCCACGGTTTCGCATCGACTATAAATTATCACGGTAAAAATTACAAACAAAGGTGAAGGACGTGCCCGTCAACGTCGAGCATATATACCGATCCGCGACGATAAATTCGCGTAAAACTCAAAATGTGACGCGAGATTTTTCACGAGTGTTCGCGGTTCGCGAGGCCTGACAGATGACAACTGTGCCATTAGTTTCACGTCGCGACGTGGCGCGGAGTGTTTTCGGATCGCGCTCGAAGGAGAAACGTTGGATAAAAATATCGATTGATGATGGTCGTTGCAGGATATTGCAAATTTTTCCTAACGCATGATAAAACCTCTTACGACGGTTATTATCGCGTGCACGGTTCACTGAGCTCGACTTTTACGCGACTTCTCCTCTTTTTAAGAGAATGATCCTCGATCACCGAATAAATTCGCGTTTGCTTCCCGTTAACGGGAATTGACAATTGCAAGATTTGACCGGAGGACGAACCAGCGTTGGTTCGTTCGATCTAAATGCACGATAATATGTCGAACCGGCAGCAGTTGCAACCGAAGGGGACGCGTCCTGTAATGGACGGATCGTCCATGCTTGTAACCTGCCACAGGAGGAATCGATTCATTTCTGGACGTGGGAGTTAAACGTCCTCGCGCAGCCAATTTGCGGCTCCATTTAAGATCCGGCATCTGGACGACATCGGACGACTCTATCGGATTCGAATAAAATCTGGTCGGGGCATACACGCGAACGAGATCAACCGGAAGATCGTATGCGTGAATCGAATCAAGGGAAATTGGATTTACTACGACGTCTGCTGACACCGATCGTAGTAAACGGTGCGAGTTACGACTGTCGGAGTACTCAATGAGAGTAGCGTCTTCCTTGGGAGAGAACTCGGCAAACTCAGATAAGAAATTACAAAATCGCGGGGAACAAGAACGTAGGAGGAAACGTGGCCCATTCGGGCGCAGAGCGGAATCGCGAGGATGGAAGTTGGCCGGTCATAAAACGAGCTTAAATCCCGCCCGCTGTTCCCTACCTAACGTTAGAAACCAGTACGAATGTACGAAAAAGAAAAAACCGACAGCATAAAAAAGAAAATGAAACATTACGTCTATTACGAGGGTAATTTTACTCTTTGCTTTATTCGTCAACATGCGGACAGTAAATACGTGTTTGTTGAGAAAATAAATATGTTTATTCATAGAAAAGAATTGGTAGGAGCTAGGGCTATGCTGACGGAGCCTGCTCTTCTATGTCGTCACCCCATCGTTTAGTCTGGCAAAACGATGGAATTGCAAAACACACCCCTCCGGCACGGAATCATCGGTAACATCGGTTCCCGCCACCAGAGTTGACCCAGCATAAATATTCATCGTTTCTGAGAGAAATATTCCGACGGTGTCAGAGGTCTGGGACTCGAGGACCATCACTCCGACGCTCCGCAATCAACCGGCGTGCATTTCTCACCTTGTGTAAACGCGCGCGGTTACATCTTGTTTTCTCGCTTAATACGCAGTCAGAAATACGGAACGCCGCGCACCGATTTAACTTGTTCGACTTTTATAAACGTGTGGAAATAGAAATTCTCATGATACTTCACGTTTCATATCCTCCCGCGGAAGAAATCTGTTACCGTCTGAGAATGTGCTGAACAGAATGTGCCGCGAATTGATAAATCAAGAGAGACATAGAGTCTTCTGTTTTATGCTTAAATAATACAGGATGAGCGAAACTTAAGGAGATTAACGTGGATATCAGAAATCTTCTTACCGAGCTTGGCTTTCATGTCCGTCTTGTCGGACCCCTTCCTTCCAGGCTTGCGTCCCCTCTTACCCCCCTCTTTCCGATCGCTGCGAGGTCCCTCCTGCAATAAAAAGGACAACCACGTGATTTAATTGAAAAACTTGTCCCGCTGGCTTGATTGGTGAAAAATGCATTCGTGTGCCGACGAGCAAAGCGAATTGTAATTAACAGTTCTATTACGAATAACAGCTTTGAGCTGCGATGATTGTACGAGATAAAAGGCGAAATGAGTGCGTACGAGCTTACGAGTAAAAAAACGTTTACAATCCGGACTATGCTGCGCGTCACCAGCGATCGTAAAACGCATTCGAACCCAAAATAGACAAAAGCATTGCGTGTATGTACTCGTGGTGTACGGCATTTCAGGAAAATTTTTGTATGGTCGCCGTCTCTATCCAAAATTTGAATCAGGAACACAGAAACGTAACAGTAGTAGGCAGATTTGAAAGTGGATAATACGAGCCTCTACAGCGCAGTGTAATATAACTGATTCGTTGTTTCTTGCTGCCACTGATTAATATCTCAAACGAGTTGGTTCAAACTCACAACGGCCCACGTTTTCAATGAAAACAAAAGCTTATCGAATCAAACAAAGGGCGGAGAGAGAAGAGGGGTGAGAGTAGTTTAGCCAGATCCGTTAAAAGCTCCGCATGAAGCCTCCATCGGAACTGTCCTAAGCCACGTTTGGCCAACCGCGCATTTTTCTCCGCAAATAAAGCCGCCGCGAAAAGAACCAGGCGACGGCTTTTTATTCCCGATTGTTACCCACTTAACTTCGCCAACGTTCTGTCGACGCGTGTGAGCCGATTCGTAAAACGAGAGCCGGGGAGGCTGTCTCTTTTGTCGTTACTCGAAGTCGAGGATCCGCTTCAAAGGAGTGCCATCGTTCGTGGGTTGATTGTTTGCCAGGCAAAGAGGAGAAAAATCTTGAGGATGCGAGCGGAGGACTGTCTCGGAACCTTTCGAGAGATAAGGAAGACGGAAAAGCGAGTGTGATGCACGCAATGGTAGACGGGGTGTGCCCCGCTCGACCACCATTCGTTCAACGTCGCGCGTCCCCGGAGCACGGTTGTTGCGACGAGCAGAGACGCGGCCGCTGGCTTAGCTATGCATGTACTCACGGGTGACAAAATACAAATTCAGCCCCCCTTTTAGGGAAGCTGTTTACCCTTCGGTCCTATCCTTTCCTCTCAATCTTATCTGGTATTAAATCTCCTCGAATCCTCTTTCTTTTCCTCTACCGCTTCTTTCCCTCCGTCGCCTCTCTCACCCTTCGCCCACGCGGCTGGTTTCATCTCCCTCTCGGTTCGAGTCTCGCCGCTGTTTTCCGTCTTTATTTAACCAACTGTCGGTTCGCGTACGCGGCTCTTTGTGGATGGAAAATGGAATTGATGTTCCGCGATGAACGGAGAGATACAGAGAACGAGCAGAGGAGCGAGCTTAAGGATTCTCCTCGTGTGCGAAGCCTCGCGAGGTTTGCCTTAAAGCCGAGAATATAATTAAGCTGGATCGTCAAACGGCAGATTGACATAAAAAGAAGAAGATGACTAGCATAGTAGAAAAATGTGATTTCCCCGACGTTTGTTGATACTTCTACGCGACATTACTGTCAGGCTTCGATACGCTTAGAACCCGCACACACCGGAAAGGTTGGAGCTCATCAAACCTCTTCTCGCTGACACTGACATTTCCGTCGATTTCCTGGTGTATCCCTATCGCCCAGGTACCTGCAACATCGCCCTGCGACTGACAATTCTACTCGGATTCCTGACGGGTATCCGATCGTCGAGAGGAACGATTCGCCCGCTTCCGACGTTCGTCTATCATCTGCTGATACCTACCATCGATTCGAACCTCAGCGCGTTATACTTAATGCTTTTATCTTTTCATTCCTGCCGTGCGAATCACTAATTTCCACGTAGCAGCCATTGAGTTAACAACAGGTATACGTAGACGCGTGATTACTTAGGAACATAGAACCGGGAATGCATTAGGAAATCGATAGCAATCTAGTCTGGCGAACGGAAGATACGTTCTTTTGGGCTCTGCGCGAGATAACGCTTTGAATAGTCGCGAAGGTAACGAACAAGAGAGAGAGAGAGAGAGAGAGAGAGAGAGAGAGAGAGAGATTGCATCGGCGCGATCTAGCCTCGGATGCCCGATAGTAGCTACATGGCAGAGACCGGAAGCTCGTAAACCACACTGTACACAATCGAGCACACACGCTTTGTAGTTTCGCTGTTCGCCGACCGATTCCCTCTTACGCGTATTTCTCGAGCGCAAAGGCCGCAAAAGCCGGGTTACGCGCGCGGATCGCCGCGACCAGCTTCATACCAAGGCTCTCTCCGCTCGGCATCGAACGTGATTTAATCTAACGGCGTTAACGCGCGACTCGTCGCTACGGCACGTACCCTACGCTGTACTTACGCGCTTTAGTTTCTACGTACCGATGCGTGTCAAGCGTGACCAGCAAACGTGTCAAAGGAAATCTCCCACGCTGTTACGATGTGTTAAGTTCCTAACACTATGTCTATTTCATTCTTTTTATAACAATGTATATACAAAATATTATTTAGGAAATTAAAGCCTGTTATTGTTGACAACGGCATGTTGATTATTACCTAACAATTGTTCTACAGGAAAATTTGATCCGCTTCTCGACTACGCGAATTGATGTTATCGATAAAAAGATAGCAATTAGATGCAACGCGTACATCTGCTGATAACGATGACGTCCCGTTCAAAAAGTTTCGTACGCTCGTCAAAGTGAAATTATTTATCGATCGAACAAGCATCGCGGTACTGTTTAAACCTGGGAGAATAAAAATTCGCCCGCGTTACCCAGCGAATTCGCTCTAATGAAGTATTTGCCCACCGCGTACGGAGACCAGGTTCGATTCGATTCACTTTACACGAACTTCACCGTGACGAATATAGAACGTTTCTTTTTATCCTATCCCTTGATTGACCCGTGGTATTCCCCCGAGAGCGGCTCAGAGTCGCACAATCGATTCTGATTACAACATTTCTTGCCTCTTCCCGGACGCATTTTCGATGCATCCGAGAGTATCAACGAAAATCGCGCCGTACGTAATCCGTCTACTCGACGCATCAACATTCAGATGATCACCTCTCGAGCAGGAGATCTTTAATTACAAATAGTACGGGAATCGTGGCACCCTCTTAGATTCCATCCATGGTTCCGCCTCTTTTCTGCGAGCTAGACCACTCTCAAATTTCACGGAAAGAACTCGTCGTTCAATTAATTCTCATTATTAACGGAATTACTCCCAGAGTCCCTTAGCGAGAGGCTCTCTTAAAAGCGTTATCCAACTTCCCCCTCTCCCGATTTCCTTTATTACGTCAAAATCCTCCTTACCACCCGCGTTCTCATCCTGGTTTCTTGCTGTCTTACTTCCTAACTGCTCCCGTCAATTTAACTCCGGGTAACCCCGGGCTCTTCCTGGTTTTCCCTTTCTCGTCTCTCTTCTATTTTCCGCGATCGCACCGACCGACCTCGGCGACGCGGTCTTGTTCACGCGGCTAATTTTAAACACTTCAAACCGTGCAATAACGAACTATCGAAGAAATCTGCCAACATGTCTTTTTTAACACCCAAAAGAATCGTTTTTTTTTTTACAAAACGAGAATGACTCATGGAAATGAAAATAAGACTTCTCGATTTTCATACGAGTACAAATAACGCGGTTGTCAGCTCAATCCAAATTCTCTTACAACTAAACATACAACTTTACTCCGTCGAGCGTAATATTAAGACCGAGATATGGTGGATTATTCTTCACGAAGTAGCAACGGGGATCGCCGCGAGGTTCAATTATTCAGAAGAGTCTACCGAGTCGACGAACAGAATTAGATACGAAATCCTCTTCTGCTTCTCCGGGGATAGAAATTCATAACAACGTTTGTCGAAGACGGAACGTAGAAAAATCATTAGGAAAAGACTGCTCTTCTGCTGTATCCCACAAAATTGCTAGTCTCATCTTTGAAATTATTTCCGAACCTTAATGAGAAGCTAAAGATTCCAAGCACATCTCCGTCAGAACGTCTGCATTTTATTCTACCTTTGAAAAAATGATCAAAATTGCTTCCTTCTCGAATTTCGTGATGCAAATGATCAAACGCAAACGAATACGTTCGTAAATGGTTATCAGCTAATAACTAAATTCGTAGTATTGCAGAGAGTACATTAATGTTCGATGCAACTGCGAGTTTCGCTTATAAAACGGCACCGAGTGAGCGTGCAGCGCAGTTACCGGATCCACCGAGCGCACAACCTTATTATTACCTCCGTTCGTCGAAGGTTGCTGGTGCGATCCTCCGACGCTCTTTTAGCGTTGACCTACAAAGCGAATTCTTGTAAAGGGAAACAGCGACTGGATCGAGGACGTTGCAAGTGTAGCAGAGTCTCGCACGCTGACGACTGGAAATCGAACGCGAGCGGGAAAAAAATTATTTTATGGACGATTAACACACGATTATTCCAAAGCTGTTCGCGATACTCGTCGATTATTTTGTAAAAACGAATTTATGTCTCGTTACGAGATCTGAGGACGGGGATCGTTCGCAAACGACGTTCTCAACGCACACAGGTGCGAAAAGAACAAAACATGTGCAAAAACGACAAGACACGGAGAATACGCGTAAAGCCTCCTTGGGCTTTTCCACGTCATTGTTCACCGGAGAACTAACGCGACCGGATGAGAGACGAACAAAGAAGAAGAGGAGAAGGAAGCCTCGTAATTTTGCAACCGCGCCACCGACGCCGCTATGTAACAATGAACGAGGGAGGTTCTGTGAACACAATGGTAAAGCGTCACGCTGGAATCATCATGCCAACGAATATCTCGTAAATTCAACAGCACGCGTGTAGTTATACTATATCCGCTCGTTTCCCGCATTAAATTCTCGAGATCTATCGGTCACCAACGTTGTATCATCGTTTCGATAACCAATTATTAAATGTCTGTTGTTCTGATATACAGTGACCAGTTATTCGTTAAAGAAACTACTTTTAGCACTAAATCCCTAAATCCGATACATCAGACAGGAGAGTTTGTGACAAGGTTGGAAGAGTCTATCGAGTGACGACAAGGTCGTGTCGATGTGCAACTGTCATAAGAGATTTAGGTACGAACCGAGAAACGTCTATCTCCTGGTGATGTTACCGTTCGCTACGCTTCAGTTGCACTGCAGTCGTAAGAAAGATTTCGAAAGACAGGAGACAGTTGCCACGAGATTGCCTGCGAAATACTTTCCACCTACTAAGATTCGTCGTCTAGCGATCGAGCGGCATTGCAATCTACTCGAAACCCTATTGGTATCGACCTACTTTAGACATGCCTATTTTAACGCGAGGTAGTTTCTTTCTTCGGTCACCAAGAACATAAATGACGATATAATCCCTTAATCATTTCTTCGATTCCTATTAAATTATTCATGAAACATAAATACATACGATGAATGTAACGACAGGCATTACGTACGAGTAACGTTAGGAAAATTATAGTACTCGCTTGGATACTGTTTTTGGCAAGAACTTCGTTTCCGGTGCCCTAATCCTTTCCAACGTCGTGGAATATTTTTTCCTCGCGAATTGCGATACGCTCCGATTTCGCAAACGCGATTCCGATAGTTATCAGCGGTGCGAGTAAACAAGGAGGCTTCTCGTATCGAGTTTCTCGTGTCGAGACCAGCACGTTCGAATCCGAAAAGTGTTTGCAAACACGCTCAGTATCGGAATGTAAATTTCGAGAGTAATCCCGATGGAAAATGTCGACTAAGCTCCACTTATTCAACGAGGCGATTCACGAGAAACGTCGCTACCGAATTTTCTCGATGTTGCGCTACGAACTGAGCAAGAAGAAGCGGCTTGGTCGGAAAAACTTATTACCTCTTAAAACGCGTCGCGCAGTTAAAGCGGCAGCATCGATTGAGTGATGACATTCTCAGGTAGGTATCACTGCGACTGAATTACGCGAGTGGGTCGTGACCCCGTGAAACTTTATTGGACGCGTCAAGCTTGGGTCAAATTTCGACCGAGACGTAGGTGGGAAACTTTTAAAGCACGTCGAAAGACAAAAATGCTTGTCGACAGGCTGGCGTTATGTATCGTAGAAAAGGACGGGTTCCCTTTTGGTGATCGTATAAATATACTTGGCGTTATGCTTGTACGGAGAAGCTTTCACGATCGACGGCACCGTTCTCCATCGGGGTAGATGCGTACCGTTGAATTGCGCAGTAGCGTCGCGTGTAGGCGATCGAAGGCAGGATCGACCGGCATTTCGAACGTAATGACGTCGAAAGCGGATCTTGCGAGAATCGGTGAATTTAAAACGCTGCGCGCGCTCGGGCATCGACAATCCCAGGGTTCACCGGCGAAAAAGCGTGCGTACTTACGTACTAAGTACTAACTGAACGACGATAGAGTCAACAGAATATTCGGAAATAGTGTGCATATAAGGCGTTCAGAGAACGGAGCTAATTTCACGGCTATCCCGAGAGAGAGAATCGTCGAAACGCGGAGGTAGTTAAAGTGCGCGAGAGTTACGAGAATAAAATAAAAACGTATAAAATGTGTCTGTTGGAAACTCACCGGTACTACGCGACGTGCGAGCTGTGTCAACTGCGCAGTTGACGGGCTAAAACACAGTGTTCAGGGACGTGGTGCTCGGTACCGGTGCCCGAACAGTGCAACCGGTAATATTATACGACCACAGCGACGCGTAACGATGATTCACGGAAACGATCGGCCGCAATTTTAAAATTGCGTTCAACTTTCCCTCCATATTTCTTGAACGCATCAACCAGGTATTCTGCTATGACTATACGATCGAACTGCAGGAAGTTTCGATTGAAAGTAATTACACTCGTGTTGCATTTATATAAAAATAACATTGAGGTTTTTGATTTAGTTAGACGCTTTTTCTACTTTTTTTACATTTATTCTTTTCTTTTCTATGAACTACTGACACGATTGGTCACTAAATAGCAAATATCTAATCAACTTTATTGTTATTCTGTTTACACAAATGATAGCAAATTCATTTGCGATAACGTATCACATGTGTTACAATGTTCCTAATCAAAGAGTAATAACTAAATGTGATACGTCACAAGATAACGAAGCACTAGTATAATCTTAACAACACGATTCCATTTTGTTTACAAGTTAATTCTGCACTTTGTGACATTAACCACAAGACATGTTCGTGATTTTAAGACAAACTCCAACGCATTCCCCGTCTGACGGTCATATGACTAATTTGAGACAGTAGCGTCATCTGTCGATGATCGAAACACGTGGCGCGATCGCTTGACAAATATGCGAAAGAACGGAACAAAAGAGCGACATCGAACGTCAGCGTTTGCTACATACACGAAAATGAAGGAGTATTAACGCACACAATCAAACAGCCACCCTTCGGTTCTGGCTGTCCCCCACTCCGCGACCCCTTGCCAAACCTTCGATCCCATGGGACTTGACGTCAAACGAAATAAACAACGCCCTTTCTTGTCAATTTCGACCCAACATACGTTATAAAAACGACTGTCATTTCGTTCGCGCGCCCTCTTTGCACAACATGGTGTAATCCGTTTAACCCGCGTAATCTTATTTCTCGCTTTTCATGCCAGTTTGCATCACGCGAGCACGTTGTCACTTCACCATTTCCCCAAATTGTCGACTCACCGTTTCGTTTTCCGTGATACACATAGGCTCCACCTCCATGATTGCAGCGGATTTACTCGGATTGAACGTTCCTCAATCTTCGCAACACGCTTTGTTCGTTCGTGATTCCTTCCTGAGCTTCAACACTCTGCAACGGCAGCGTGTGTCTGTTTACAAACACTGCAAGGTCACTCAGCAGACCCCCAGATCTCCGACTATCGAGTAATTCATATTACGTCACGATCACTGTTCAAAGCGTCTCGCGTGGCCAGATCACGAAACGTTACCAGGAATCTGATATGATTGAATGGTAGGTAAACAAGAATTTTGTACTTAGCTGGACAACATTGAGATTTAATTAAAGCGGAAGTAAGTTAATCTTAAATAATAGAACACATATATAGTATGTATTTATATAGAGAACATTTTCGTTTTATCTAAAACCATTTATTTCTTTGCAAAACAAGTAATTCACTGTCATTAGCAATAATAAATTTTATAATGATTAAAAACTGTATTTAAACGGATACAGAAGTATATTTACATAACTATGGATAATAAAAAAATATAAGACACATTAACTTTTTATATTGTTGCAATAAGTATATAACAATGAAGGTTTTGACAATATAACATATAATGTATGTATAGTAGAACTTCTTTTTCACAAGATTCCGTATATGTACGTATAAGAAGACATATACGTACACGTACATGTGTATATTTCATAAGAGTAACTCATTATCTCTCTCAAGAATTCTGTCTATAAATTATGGTAATATACAAATAAGCAATTCAGATTATCAGTACATATAGATCATATATAATGAAAATTCTAAAAGCTCGTCTAACACTAGAAGGTATTACACAATATCATTATTAGAACTTTTATACTTCGATACCTGTTGAACAATGATTATATGTTTTTCTTGCCTTCGAAAATAAATTTTCCATTATCCGTAACACCAATTCTATAAGTAATGAACTTACGTACGTTTAATGTTATGAAGCAATTCATGTTTAAATGAACGACGCGTAAATTAACAGTAGTTCACACAGTGAAGCATCGTTCGCGCTATTTGAGCAATACAAATTTATGTTTCATTTTATCTATGTGAAACTAATACGTAAAATCATGTGCGAAAATTTCCTTATCTCTGTTTCCATCTTGCATCGTTTATGCCACAAAAAAGCGAATTTCGCTAATCGTCTCGAGAATTTTCATATTTGTTTTTCTAATAGGTAATAGAAGACTATATAGCCAATACAAAGTAATATCTTTAAAGGGTATAGATTACATATATTGTACAAATACAACCCCAGATAGAAATGCTGTTTGTTCTAAAGCCAAGTTAGATAAAAGTGCTGATTTAGTAGCTTAATAAAAAAAGAGTAAGCGCTCCTGAGCACTTCCGGGTAGTAATCTCCAACCACGCTTAATGTTCAAATATTGAACAATCGCTCGTGCACAAATCAGAACTCCTAAAATTTAAATATGAATTAAAAGTATTCTTTATACATAAGAAACAGAGCATCGATAAAGGTACGAACCAAATCCCATTATTAGCCACCACAGCCAAGAATTTTCACGAGATGCCAGGTCAGTGGAATGTTTAACAATCAATGTCCATTTTGTCAAAGATAAACCAAAACCAGACAACGCGCCGTATCGTGATGCAATTGTATGACAGAAGCACATCAGAAGCAGAAATCCGATCCAATTAAACAAAAACGCAACTGCAAGATAAAAAGTTTTTAGGACGTTATGTACATGATCGAATACTGTGTCTTACCTAAAAATGCTGTAAAGAACATAAAATCAGTGCCGAGTAAACCATTTTCAGGATCTCCCTCTGCGACCTCAGTATCTATAGCCAGAACTGTTAGAGGCCTTGCTGGCGTTCTGAGATTATCAAGCTATAAGAATAAAGAGAATATTTACTTTTTTATTAATGGCATTGGCCATTTACTAAGAGGCTGATGTAATTAATCACCATATGTATTTGAGGATAAGGTTCTCCTTGCAAGGTTTTCTCACGTTGAACTTCCTCATAACTGGGTAATTTTGTAGCTACTTCGTACGGTGGTGGAGCTGAAAAATCTGCCTTTGGAGGTGGTATTTCTTCTCCTCCAGCCTGCAATTATAATCTCTTTAGTGATAAACATATTTTCATAGATATAATGCTAAGTACATACCATTCTATTTTCCATTGATGTCTGTGCTGCTGCGATGTTTCCTGAATTAATTATATCATTTTGCATGACTGGCAATGACACGGTCAACGTAGGTACTTCATTTTGAGATGATGGTTCACCATTTGAATCATTATTCACCTGTGGAGGCTAACAATTTAACTGTTAACACATATCTTTACTATCTTTTATCAAAAGTAGATTAAAAACACTTAAACAGATCAGGTCTTCTTCGTGTCACATTTATTATTAGACTTTGGTATTAAGAAAATGAAAACGATGTAACAAAGACTTGTTTCTGTCATTTAATTTTCAATCCTAAATTTTTCTCTGGAAACAAATGACGATTTACGTGAGCAATGTTGTCACGAGCTTTGCCCGTCACTATTCGCGTCCAGCTTTTATCATATTTTACGAATATTTTATGTATGGTAAATATATGTTCACTAAACTAAACTAACAGGAAGGCACTTCAGTATTAGGAGATGTACTATAAACTGTTCACTATCGCCTTTAAAACATTGCACACGAAAAATATTTATCGCGAAGACCATTGTTTGTGAAACGTACCATGTAAGGAATGTTATTATCCATTCTCGGTGAAATTTATACGTAGCACGAGTGTGTAATTTTGGTTACGTAGGAGAAATTAAAAATACTGTTTTCTGTGTAACGCCGTTTTGTAAGGCAGGAAAGTTCCTTACAATCGATGGCTGACAGCTGGCAAGACTATATTACCGTGGACCCAGAGTTTCTTCCACCTTCACGTCTATCAATTCTGTTAACCTGCTTGAGCGATTCACTTCTCACAATTATCCATTAGCAAACATTTCCATCCGCATATTAAAATCTATATTTGTGTTATCAAACACTGTTACATACGCTTATCATAAATCGTGTATGAAAAAACTATAAAATCGAAGTCGAATTTTGATTGGTAGTTCACGATGTGACATTGAGAATCGGACTTTAGGACGGGAATATAACGAACTGGTATTTTTCTTCTTACCGGAAGTATGTAATAATTAATTAATACCACTTTGTTATTAATATTTGAGTGAAAGACAGGACAATCAATGGAAATAATGTGGAAATGTATATATACGTCGATTACTTCATTAACAAAAACCGTAAACGAGGATCAAACGTTCATTTGAATCACTTGCTTTGGAGGGGGTAATTTGGATCACGTCGTCATGCACAAACGACGCTCTACTCGTCAGTCAGTCGCTTGCCGATAGTGAGAGAGGTACTGAGGTTTCGTTATGTCGGAGGTATTCAAACTGGGTGATCTAGTATGGTGTGTACTCATTATGTGCTAATCAATGAATGTTCGTAGAAATAGTGATACGTTAATGGCAGTGATACTAATCGATCTCTTTATGGATTTCAGGGCGAAGATGAAGGGATTTTCGCCTTGGCCTGGTCGGGTAAGTCAAACTGACTACTAACGCTTATGCGTTAACTACTCTTTGCTTGATCGTACGCGCCACGAAGTCAAACGCGGCCATCATATTTGGCGGGAACGTACTCGATTCCATTCGCGTCACCTTTTTAACAACTGTATTTTGTAACACCGCGAGTCGAAGCATTTTATAGAATGTTTGATACAACTGTTGTCTCTCGTTGTATGTCTCCCGCCTCGTCCGACCTTCGAATTTAAATTGGCGCGCATACTACGAAAATATAACCTAAAGTACATTCTGCGCTTTCACAACGTTAGCCACGATGTCCATGAGTAAATGAAGGAAAACGTGTATGTGTTTACATTACATGTGACCAGTTGTTCTTTAGATTGTACATTTCTTCGATGAAAAAATACTTATTCCTGTTGGCAGATAAACGTTGCCAAAGATTTACGCGCTAATTACAATTCCCATTCCTGTTTATAAGTGAATTTATGCATAGTATGAAATAAAAGTATAAATTGTATCTGTGTTTAGTATAATTTATATTTCTGTTTAACAATAGTATTTATATTTAAATTTGTTAAGTTAGAGGATGTTTAAAATGTTTAATGTTGAACCTTATCAAACTTCGCACTTTCAATATTTATTTATCTGTTACAAAACATGAAATGTAAAATGTCCTTATTATTTCATTTGATTTATATTTTATCATATAACAAGGAAAGTATATGTGTACTCACTAATGTCTTCATGGCATCTCTTAAGGTATCTAATCCTTCAAAGGACTTAAAGAAACCGACAAATACTAAGAAGGGCCCTGTTCAATGTATTTTCTTCTTTGGAACAAATAATTAGTAAGTTTTAATGAAGTTCCTTATGCTTTCATGTTCTGTGATATATATACATTTGAAATTTATACAAAACATTTCTTATAGCGCATGGATAGAGGAAACTAATATAAAACCGTATCAAGAGTACAAAGATACACTTGTAAAATCTAGTAAATCTGGTGCATTTAAGGATGCAGTGGAAGCAATAGAGGAATTTATTGCTAATGGGGAGGTAAGTTATGCAAATCAAAAATATATGGTTCGATGCAATTACTAGACTGCCTTTTATGTAATAGAAAAAAATCATAAAGAAAGCTGTTATTTCTTAATAAAATGATGTGAGGCCAGTCCACTATAGTCTACAACGTTATGTGCTTTAGGTATTTGAGGATGGTTTAGATCCAGACTCATTGTTCGACAGACTTAAGGAAGAGAGTATATCTGACAAGAAAAATATAGTAAAAACACCTAAACCTCGTAAGGTTAGGTCACAATTTATATAAAAAATATAATTCAATTGTCTCTTTTTCGACGAGTCATAATTGCATAAAAGTATGTAATATATTTAGGAAACACCGAAAACCAAGAGAATGGAGACTGGTAGTAGCGAGGCTCGTCGACCAGCTAAGAAGCAGCGAAGAGAATCAAGTACGAGTAACAGTAACAGAGTTGGCAGCGTTAGTCCTGCATTAAATCACTCGACTCCTCCCCGAAAATCAGGATCAACTCTTCTCAATAGGCCCGCGAATATTGCTAGACCTGTAAGTGTATTTTTAATATAGTTCTGTGGTACATATTCAAGGATACATTATAGTTGATCTATTCCTTCGAACGAAATGAATTATTTTCATTTGAAGTGCTGAATATCAAGTAGCTCTTTAAAGTCAAAAGTTGGGATATACAACTTTTTATACATTATGTTTATTTAAATAAAAACGTCCCATCCTGTTTAATCCCTTTCCACAATAATCTGACAGCAATTTTTTATAATAAAATTTTGGAAAGTGATGTAGCATGGATATCACTGGATTCTTCAATTTAATTCTGTGAAAAACCAGCTCTTTTTAATATCTAAATTTTCAAACTGTTTCATTGAGTTTGAGTTGCAATGAAATTACTATACGTGTAATCGTTCATATCTTGTCATCTTTTGTTACAGGTGACACCTCCCTTGGACGTGGAAACGTTGTCGCAAACGCTGAAGGAGAAAAACATTCTTCCGTCGAACTTGAAATTCGGTTTCCTGGGTTTGGGGATCATGGGTAGCGGCATCGTGAAAAACCTGATCAACAGTGGACACAGCGTAATTGTGTGGAATCGGACACAGGAAAAGGTATGTACACTTTATTTATAATAAAATAATAGACAGTACACAGTTGCTACTATGATGTGATTACTCGAAAAATTCTTTATGATTATAACAAAAATCAGATTCTCACACACGTAACATATTAGTTTTTCATTTAATTGCAATTAATATAAAAGAACTACGTTATTGATGCGAGTAGAATAGCAAATTGATCGTGGTTGAATTTCGTTTATTTTTACGTACATTTCAAATGGTTACATAATTTTACATAGCGTTGTAAGTTTAAATTGAAAAAGATCAAGTAATTCCATAAATCAGTGATAATGCGGAAGGTTTTATATGAACCGTCGCGACTGCTATGATTATCAAACTTTTTAGCACTGTCAGCAAGAATGTCATTGTCGCGTTTCGCTTCTTCGGTAGTGAATCCTATGTCCAATGAGCGAAATATTATTGACACACGTCACAGAAGGACAGGTCTTTACAAATTTAATTTTGATACGGTTGATAATTTTTTTCACTCTGAAGCTCAAATGATTTTGTCGAGATGAAAATTATTAGGGTTAAAATAAGAAAAAAACTATTTCAATAAACAATATCATTTATTCGTTGCTGTATATTCAGCATATTTTTAAGCTACTTATCTTATATTATAATTTTAAACAAACAGCAAACTAAATCGCTTGACAAGTAGAACATAAAATATCATATTGTGGGTATTTGAATTATAAAATGATTCAACAACTCTCTCCGCTCAGAATAATACCTATCGCGTAACGCAATAGAAAGAGTAAGGAACGTCTGTTGGAAAAGTTTTCGAACTAATTCTCTTTTCGTAAAAAATGGCCTTAAAAAAATAACAGTGGAAGTTTCTTAGAACTTTCTTTGTATCAATTAGATAAAGAATGTATCCTAATTTTTCTCTAAAATTATCTGCGTTATTTCTACAAAAATAATTAATTTAACTATTTCTTATTAACGTTTCTACCATATATATAACGTTCACTAGTATAAGTTAAAAATGCAGAAAAATACAAACTACCCGACGCGTTCGAAACGTCGCAGCTTCTTATCTTCATAAGAGGAACTTTTGATTAATGGCAAATTATTGTGCGATTTCAATGCCTAATATAACAAAATATACACACGGTATTCTTACGGTATTCTTCATCTCGCTACACAATACGTAATGTCATAGAACCGAATGTTCTCACGGTATTCCACAGCCTATTTTTGAGTGGTTGTTCCGGTGAAGTACGTCTGTAGCCACCTAATTTGCATATCTAACAGCGTTAGTGAGCGTTTTATGACTAATCTTATGATCAGTCCCCGTCAATTATTTTCAACGTCTTACAATTCTCAGCTGTAATACACATCGAGAACAAATATTTAAGGATATATTGGCTATACAGTTAATCCCAAAAGTTTATGCACTTTAGAAACGCATTTTTTAAAAAGAAATCAGACGTCGGTAGAACATTGCTAATAATAAACAACAAAAAAAAATTTTCGATTTTTCCAAGGGGTACCCCTTCAATTTCTTCCAAATTTTCGTTTTTTGCCAATAATTCCCAAACCGTTCGAGATACGGGAAAATTGCATTAGACATTTCTTGTAGAGAATGACGAGATCTACAATTTCCATGTAAAAATATTTCGCTAGCGTCAATAGTTAACGAGTAATTTGCAAAAAACGAAAAAACAGTTTTTTGCAAATAACTTGTAAACTATTGATGCTACCGAAAAACTTTTATATAGAAATTGTAGATCTCGTCGTCCTCTACAAGAAAGGTCCTATGCAATTTTCCCGTATCTCCAATGATTTAGGAGTTATTGAGAAAAAATGAAATTTTTTTCCAAAAGTTCGCCGTTTCGACGCTGGGATGGTCGGATT